CAGGCACTCAAAATCACAGGGCAGCGTTGAAAGCTCTGCCCTTGCACCCACCGTGAAGATCAAGGCACGAACTTCACCATGACAGCAAAAGCGACAGACATGGGACACGCACAGGTAGCAGAGCGGCATTTCAACCATGGCTGAGTGCTGGAACACGTGCCGAAACAGCAAGAGCACTGGTCCCTTCCACGTCTACGGCTTGCATCTGGACCCCAGTGGAGCTGCATTTGTGGGCAAGAGGACGAGGCATAGTCTCATTTTGGCTTGGGCTTCAGATACTCAAGCTAGGCTGATGTGGATCAGCCAGAAGCAAGAGTAGATTTGTATCTCATACCCTCTGTTAATCAGAAGCCTCTACTTAGTCAAGTGCATTTTTGTTTCAATGGTTCAAAAATATTCATTCCCTCCCTCCAGCCAAATGTGCTGGGAAATGTGCTGTCACTGACTTAACATTTCCCAATGATTAAAAGACATAATACGTTTGAAAATAAAAATTAATTTAAAAAATATAATTTATTTTAAAATTGTATAATGGCAGTGAGAAAATGGCTCCCTCATAACTCAGTAGCCCCTCAGGGATGAAACAGGCAGAGACGGCTGAAAGCCTGTGGACATTGCATTGAACAGGCAAGGGGGGACCACAGCTGGACTTCAGGTAGCCGTGAAAACCTGGAGGTGACTGTGGATCGACACAGACATTCTCCTTCTTGCAAGGGGACAAGAGCACCTTCCCAGTGCCGTGACCCAGCCCGTTACAGAAAAAGCACCCACCGTGGTATTGGAAGTACCAAGATTCATACCAGAGACATTCAGAGAATAAGGTCTAAAACACTGAAACCAAAGAGACACCAAGCAGCTCTCAATTTTCCTGAGTATTTTACTTTTATTGGGACCAATTTTTTCTTTTTAGACAAGGATCGGCTGAACTTCCACAGATCATACCAAAGCATCACTACTTCACTGTACCTTATTTTCAGTTCCTCAAAGAACCAGGACTGATTTCCTACAGTGCATTAGCAATTGTGAATTGATGGCTAGGAACCATCTGTTACACAGTCTACAGAGGACCCAGCAACGGGAGGACAAGTAGCTTACCGAGGCCGCAGAGGATTGCAGTCGGACCAATCGGAACACAGCCGCGTGCACAGCCCCCAACCGTGCCTTGGCAGCCAATCACAATGCGACCAGAAGGCACGTTCTTTCGGGCCCGCCTCCTCCTGCCAAAGCCAATCAAAGTGAACAGGAGCGGAGCGGCGCTGACCCAGCCTATGCAGCCACTCCACCCAATCGCCTCCTGTGTCTGGGCCGCCAATGGA